TGTAAACCAATGCCGCTTTTCTCACTAAATTTTTTGTTTTGGAAAATATAGTTATTTTTAAAATGTATAAATATAAAAGTTTTATATTTAAATGAATAAAATATTTTAAACATCTTAGGTTTAATTTCTTATATAGTAAATATCAATATATATTATGTATATAAACAAGAACTTTGGGGGTTCTCAGTGATTTTTTTTTTGGAGACAGAGTCTTACTCTGTTGCCCAGGCTGGAGTACAGTGGCGCCATCTTGGCTCACTGCAACCTCTGCCTCCCAGGTTCCAGCGATTCTCCTGCCTTAGCCTCCTGAGTAGCTGGGATTACAGATGCCCACCACTATGCCCAGCTAATGTTTGCATTTTTAGTAGACATGCGGTTTCTCCATGTTGGCCAGGCTGGTCTCGAACACCTGACCTCAAGTGATCTTCCCGCCTCAGCCTCCCAAAGTGCTGGGATTGCAGGTATGAGTCACCGTGCCCAGCCTCAATAATTTTTAAGAGTGAAGGTGTCCTGAAACCAAAACAATTTGAGAATCACTGGTGGAAATTCCTTTTTTTTTTTTTTTGAGATGGAGTCTCGCTCTGTTACCCAGGTTGGAGTGCAATGGCGCCATCTCGGCTCACTACAAGCTCTGCCTCCCGGGTTCACGCCATTCTCCTGCCTCAGCCTCCCGAGTAGCTGGGACTGCAGGCACCTGCCACCATGACCAGCTAATTTTTTTTGTATTTTTAGTAGAGACGGGGTTTCACTGTGTTAGCCAGGATGGTCTCGATCTCCTGACCTAGTGATCCGCCCACCTCGGCCTTCCAAAGTGCTAGGATTACAGGCATGAGCCATCGTGCCTGGCCTTGGTGGAAATTATTCTTGAATTAAAAGGACACTTCTTTAAAAATTCAGTAATTTTGACTTTTCCCTCTCTGAAACTAACCCTCCCTTAATTAATGATTTTGTGAGGTTTTGTTGCATTTTTAAAAAATCCAGGGACCACAGTCTAGCCAAATGATTATCAGATCTAGGTATTCATTTTAGTCCATTTTAACACTCAGGATAATAAATTTCAGATAAATAATACTCTAATATTATTTTTTTTTCTGAAAAGTTACAATCAAGGATTGTTTAAATAATGCAAATGATCCTTTTAAACTAGAGTTATACTCCATTCTGCCCAGAAACCCAAATACGATTGACTCAGTTTGACATTGTGTGTGCAGAATGCCCTCATAGAAGCTGATAAAACACAATTTGGATTTTTACAACAGTGATTTTCAAAGAGGTAAGCATGAGAGGTGGGAGTGGGGTTCACGTCCCCTCCCTGAGGGGAGCATCAGAATGTGAGGCGATTGTAACTAGAGAAGTTTCTTCTGTTCGCACCAGAGATACTGTTTACTGTCCTTCTATTCACCGTCTTCTCTTACAGACTTCCTGCTGTTGTAAGCGACCACCACGGATTTCTCAGAAGTGCTGTGGCAAATAAAAATGATTGAGAGTCATTACTCTGTACATTTTCTATTCTACTAGAGAGACAATTTAAAATAAAATAATAGGTAAGTAAAATCTGAAGAAAATAACAGGAGATAAATAGGACCAGTCAAAGCTTTTAAGGATTTGTGCTTAGACTGAGGCTCTATCAGGTTCTCACCCTCCATTAATTTGAAAGCAAAACCATTATATTTTAGTTGAATGTTTGAGAAAATGAATTATTTGAGTGGCTTGTTTTAATTGGAATTCCATTATTTCTTTTTCTGAATAATATAGTTTTCCGGATTTAAGTGGTAAAAATCAAAGACTTTGTTGTAAATTTTTTTTTTTTTTTTTTGAGACAGTCTCACTCTTGTCACCTAGGCTGGAGTGCAGTGGCACGATCTCGACTCACTGCAACTTCCACCCCCTGGGTTGAAGCAATTCTCCTGCCTCAGTCTCCTAAGTAGCTGGGATTACAGGCGCCCGCCACCACACCCGGCTAATTTTTATACATTTTTAATACAGACAGGGTTTCGCTATGTTGGCCAGGCTGGTGTCAAACTCCTGACCTCAGGTGATCTGCCCACCTTGGCCTCGAAAAGTGCTGGGATTACAGGCATGAGCCACTGCACCTGGACGTAAATCATTATAATTGTATGAAATTATTATGAATCACAGCTTCCTGTGACCACACCCCTTTGTAATGTGACATTGTCACTCACTCTTCCCGTTAAAAAATTGGAGTTTATTTGACCGCCTCTAGAATCTGGGATGGTCTTATGACTTGCTTCGACCAACAGAGTATGATAGAGTGATCTTGTACATTTTGGAGTCTAGGTTTTAGGTCTTTTCTTCTTAGAATGCTAAGACCACCATGCAGTGGAAAAGCTCCATCCACTATAAGAAGATGAGAAGCCATGTGGAGAACTAAGACTTTTCAGCCAATAGCCAGCACCAACTGCCAGACACATGAGTGAGGCCATCTTGAACCCTCCAACCCAAGTGTATTCAGGGTTCTCCAGAGAAACAGAACCAACAGCATGTGTGTGTGCATGTGTGTGTTTATAAAGATATTTATTTTAAGGACTTGGCTCACTTGATTATAGAGCTTTCAAGTCCAAAATCTGCAGGGTGGGTTGGCAGGCTGGAGACCAGGGAAAAGGTGATGCTACAGTTCAAGGCCGAGAGCCATCTACTGTCAAAATCCCTTCTTGTTCACGGAAGGTCAGCCTTTTGTTCTATTCAGGCCTTCAGTTGATTGGATACGGCCTACTCACATTACGGAGGGCAATCTGCGTTATTCAAAGTCCACTGATTTGTTAATCTCATCGCAACATACCCTAACAGAAACAGTAGAATGTTTGACCACGTATCTGGGCACCATGGCCCAGCCAAATTGAACATGAAGTTTAACCATCATACCAGTCAAGCTGTCAGATGATTCTAATTGCAGGAGTGATCCCAGGTGAGGCCATGACAACACCAGATTGCTAACCCACAGGATTGCCATTAGTCGTTTTTATTTTCTGCCACTAAGTTTTGAGGTGATTTGTTACACAACAAAGGGTAACTGAAACCGAACTATCTGCGAAAGTGTCTGTGGGTTTAGGCTGGGGGTTATGAGTAAGTGGACATTAACTTTTGTGGATGCTATAATCAAGAGGAGGGATATTGTGTATGTTACATGCTGGTACAGTCTCAAACAAAACGTGGCATACGTAAATATAGGATGAGGCAACGGCACACAAGGCAAATTGGTTTGTGAATCATTTATTTAGCAGATATTTATTGCACACCTCCTATACACCAACCACTATTCTAGGAGCTGGGAAAACAAGACAGACACTGTCCCTGCCTTTGTGTAACTTACGGTTTGAGGGAAAAAGGCAATTAAATATGCAATTTCAAAAAGTTTGACAAGGAAGTACAAGTTGCTGCTGACCACACCAATTTTTGGGATTAGGAAAGGCTATCTAGAAGTGATATTTTCCTTCATATTTATTTAAATAATATTTAAATAATATTTATTTAAATAAATATGAAGGAGGAGTTCACAGTTCACAGATCCGCTCAGCTTAATCCTTCATATTTATTTAAATGAAGGATGAGTAGAAATTTAAGAAGGGGATATAATGATACAAATGATTTTGGGTCAGCAGAGTACAAAAATGTTCTGGACAGAGGAAATATGTGTGCTGGCTCAGAGGTGAGAAAAATCATGGTGTACTAAAGTCACCACAAAGACTTCTGTAGATCATATGGAGAAGCAGGAGAGATGAAGCTGGAGAGCAAAGCAGCAAATCAGCAATTAAAAAAGATGTTTGGAGTTGTTGAGTTTGGAGATGAAAAGTGACAAGATGAATTCTGGATTTTAGACAAAGCAATCCAACTTGAGAATGGACAGGGATTTGAGAGAAGAAAAGAAATGAGCTGTTGTCAGTAAGAGTATTTAAATTAGGATACTGGTAACGAGGATGGAGAGACACATGATTATACATGGGAAGTGAGAGCAGAAAGCATGAGGACTATTTCTTGATTTTTTCTTTTTTGCTCAGGCAACTGTATAGATGAAGGTATTAATGAAACCAGGAACACTGAAGAAATAGTGAACAATTAAAGTACTTTTGAGTTATCAGAGTGAGATGTCCCGTAGGTGGCTAGACAGTACTGGCTGGTAATTCAGAAGAACTGCTGTGTCCTGTGTAAAAGGAAAAGCAATTCCTGGATGGTGGCTAAAGCCAGCTGGCAGGATTTAGGGGATGGGTTAGACCTGCACTTGTTTTCCTGGAGAAGAGGCGGGTATAAAGTGGCAGAGTGAGATTACTGTAAAATATCTGCATTCAAAGGGCTAAAAAAAAGAGAAATGCTGGAAAGGCTACTTGCTATAAAAGCAGCAGGGTAGGTTAAAACAAATCACGAAGCACGGGCGACGAGGCTGGGGGGCTAATGCTAAGCCCTGCGTGCTTTCCAGTGCACCGACACACAAAAGGGAAAGGGACCCTCCTCACCGGAAGCACAACCTCTGCCCTCTGGGACATTACACATTCCTCCGCGCCGGAAGAACGCGTCGCGCCTCGCCTCGCCCCGTCGGCCTGGCTCCATCCCTACCTGTAGTGAAGGAGAGATTGTGCCCCTCCCCGACCCCCTACGCAGGGCGAGCCGCGCGGAGTCGTTGGACTGGGCAGAACTTTCGCAGGCAAGGAGAGAAACAGCCACACTGGGCTGCCGGGCAGGGGAAGAAGGAGGAAGGGCCAGATACCCGGGCGTCGCGCCGCTGCGGAAGGATTCCGTTTCCTGCGGGGGGCGGAGGGATTTGACAGCACAGTAACTTCCGGAAAAGTCCTGAACCTCACAGGAAAAGCCTTGCAAGAAACAATAACAAACGGGAGGAGGAAGCGATTGTGGGGTGTCTGTGTTGAGCGGTTCTTGTCCGCGAAGATGCGCTTCGGCCCCTGTCAGCGGACGTGAACGGGCTCAGTGGGCTTCAGCCAGCTTTTCTCCACCGGTTCCCCACGGGGACCCCCTCCCCGGCCGCTGCAATGGCGGGCGTGGGGCCGGGGGGCTACGCGGCCGAGTTCGTGCCGCCCCCGGAGTGCCCCGTCTTTGAGCCGAGCTGGGAGGAGTTCACAGATCCGCTCAGCTTTATCGGCCGCATCCGGCCTTTGGCGGAGAAAACCGGGATCTGCAAAATTCGGCCGCCCAAGGTACCTCCGTCTGTGAAGAGAGGGGGAGAAGGAAGAATGGGGGAGTCCGTACACTGGGTGTAGCCTTACTTTGTATGTACTCTCCTTTATGTTGAGACAACCGGAGCCTGTTTCTGGATGTTTCTGCTTCGGTTTCTGTTGTGGTCTTATGTAGACACGTCTGAACGCGAGAAAGTGGTGTCTCTGGGGTCTCTTCCGCCTAGAACTTGGGAACTGATACTTTTCTCTCAGCTGTGGGCCTAAAGCCCTTCGTTAGCCAATGTGGTGTTTAATTAAAGTACAGTATTATGACGTGACATATTCTTCCCTCACGTACCCTCATTATGGTTTGATCGTCGGCTCTCTCTATTCAAGACCTGATTGGATCAAATATTTGCAGGCCTCGTCTCAGGGCTAGGGTTTCTGAAAAGGTAATCTGAGCTCTAGTTCCACCAGATGGTATTATAGACATAGAACTCCAGACTAGTTATTGCTGCAGTGAGAAAGTCTTACCGGGGAAAGAGGAGCAGCAATAATTCTAAAATTGAGAGGTTTAGGAAGAATTGATCTATAATGGAGGTGGAAGGAAATGTTGAAATCTCTTGACATAGGGAACTCAAGATCAACGATTTTAGAATCACAGTTATTGCAGATAACTAGGTTTACCTATAAGGTTAATTATAATCTCAACGTTGAGGTAAGGAAAGTAGATACTATCCCTTGTGTGGAGGGGATTAATGCCCCAAGAGGTTGAGTGAGATGCTCAAGGTCAAAAGGTGTTTTTCTTTACTCATTAGACCAGTGCTTTTTAAATGATGTTGCTGGACCACTTGCACCTGGGTCAACTGGATGCTTATTTAAATGCAGATCTCTAGGCTTCTTGTGGAAGTTCTGGAATCTGCTTTTCTAGCAGCTAGTCTCAGATGATTCTTCATGTTAGTTGAGGTTTTCGAACCATTGCTTTAGTCATTGCTTCTTAAAGGCATTTTGCTTTATGTTTTGTCTAGTATTAGTAATGATAAAATATTAAGCACTGTTAACCAGTGTTGCATTTTAAAAAGCATCTGCCGTCACCACTGACTACCACAGTGATAGGCACCGCAGCGAATTAAAAACTTAAATGACAGCGAGGAGGAGCTAATTTAACACCTATAGATTGTTTGCTTTAATCTTTGAAGCCCTGATAGGTAAATAAAGTCCACCTTTTACAGATGAGACTAATCTGGATAAGTTAAAACACCAGATGGGTTATCTTGGGCAAGTGGCAAAGTATATTTTGAACCTAGATCGGTTTTTCTGATTCCGAAACAGACATAATGCTCTATGTTGAATGAGTTTAAGGTTATAGACTATTCGTTGCAAGCAGAGGATTAACAAATAATTGCTGTGATGATATGCATTGCCATCCTCCAAAAACTTCCATTTAACCCTTTTTTTCTATCATAATTACCTGATATTAACAAATCTTAAGCATTGAAGGTTTTCCTAAGTCGTATTTTCATCTACTCTTGAATTTATTAATTAGAAATTCTATTCACGGTTACTTCGATTAAAAAAAAGTTTTTTTTTTTACTTAAAAAATGTTGAAATAATGCTTTCTCTTTTTATGTCACATTATTGAAAATAAATCTTGTTTACAATCAGAATTTAATTTTTTTTTTTTTTTTTTTCCGGGACGGGATTTTTCTTTTTTTCCCCGGCTGGGGTGCAGTGGCCCGGTTTTGGCCCCCCTCCACCCCCCCCCCCTGGGTTTTTTTTTTTTTTTTTTGACTACTCACGTTTTAAAATAGGTTTACTGTTATTCTGTTATTTAGGCCAAATCAAACTATGTTATTTAGACCCCACTTGAAATATGCTATCTGATTTTAGTTATATCACAGTCTGGAAACTGTCCTTGTTCTGTGTGTGTGCTTACTTTTTTTTGTTGTTGAATATTTGGGTTCCCAGAGGCTGGGCTTTGAACAAAACTTTTGTGTAACATTAAGTGCTCTGCCGCATTACACATACAGTACAAAAGAAAAAGTTAAAAAAGTTTCTTTTTAATCTTTAATTTTACCCTTTTTGGTTTTTAAAATTTTTTGGTGTTTTTTTTTGATCTTGGTAAACCTGAATGTTTACTAGACACTGTTTTGTGGTACATGACCTCTTTGAATTCCACTTGAGTAACTTGGGAAAGCATAATTGTGGGAGGTAAACAGTGGGACTGGTTTGAAGAGGATTGCTTTTCTGAGTAATACAGGTTGAGCATCCATCCCTACTTTAAAAATTCCAAATCCGAAATCCTCCCAAATCTGAAACCAAGTTATCCTGAAACATTATTATTCTTTTTCTTTTATAGAGACAGGGTCTTGCTTTGTTGCCTGGGCTGGTCTCATGCTCCTGGGCTCAAGCGATCCTCCTGCCTCAGTCTCCCAATGTGCTGGGATTACAGGTTTGAGCTACTGCACCCAGCTTGAATAGATTATTTTTTTCATTGTATTAATGGTATGTTATATTTTTTCTGTTAACTACTTAAGTGGAAATAAGTGTAAGGGAATGATTGTTTTTTGGTAGCATGTAAGAATTCACAGTCAGAAATGATGGTGATGCCAGACAACCACAGATTGTCCACACTGGTGGCTGAGCTAGTGACACCTTTCTTTTCTGATGGTCCAGTGTACACAAGCGTTATGCACCAAATTATTAAAAATATTGCATAAAATTACCATTAGGCTATGTGTATAACTATATGAAACAAAATAATTTTGTATTTAGACTTGGTTTCTCTCTCCAAGATACCTCCTTATGTATATGCAGATATTCCAAAATATGGAAAAATCTGAAATCCAAAACACTTCTGGTCCCAAGCATTTCAGATGAGGGATACTCAACCTGTATTAAAATTATTTTATCTAAAAGAATTGCTCATTCTGTCTCTGTAATAAAGAAGTCTTATAAGTTAGTCTATTAGCACCGTGATTATGGCAAAACCCCCCTTTAAGGGAATAAATAACGCATTCCTTGCTTAAATACCACTGTGTTTTTTTTAAAAAAATCTCTGTTTAGGACTGGCAGCCTCCATTCGCCTGTGAAGTAAAAAGCTTTCGTTTCACTCCAAGAGTCCAGCGCCTGAATGAACTTGAGGTAAGTGTTTTGTCACCGTTTCTGCTTCCTGATTCATAGGGCTGTAGGTAGAGAACTTTGAGAAGCTCATGGACCACAGCCTGGAGTTTGTGTTAATTGGTATTGAATAGTTACTTGATGTTTGGAGGAAGAGTGTGATTTTTAAAAAATTGTGCAAAGTAGTTATGGTTTCTCCGTTTAACTGAGATCATGAGAAACTATGTCTAGCCCTGTTTTTCTAGTGGAAACGTTCAATGCTTAGCTTCAGAGACTTAGAATTCTTAAATTCTACTTTCTCTAGTGTTTATTACTCTACTAAAAGTTTTGTTAATCTCCGAAGATTTCTGTCTCCCTTCGTTCTTGGAAAATGGATTTTTAAATTCTGTTTTAAAACCCTAGTTTTCAAAGTTAGTTTTGTTTTGTTTTGGTTTTGGTTTTAATGGAACTTTGCCAGGAGTGTTAATCTGATTTATTAAGATCTGCCTTTAAGCATTACTAATGTATCTTAAATTATCTAAATGGAAGTCTATTTATGTATTGCTGTTTTTCCTGTCTGCGGATTTTCAGAAGGTTCTTCATTGTGATATGAAAACTTTTAGAGTACAGAAGGAAAATTATTGATAGTGAAGGTTTATTATGTCATTCTGAAGTGTTTTTCCCCCCCAAAATATTTCTGAGAGTTTAATACATACTTTTTTTTTTTTTTTTTTTTTGAGGCAGAGTCTCGCTCTGTCACTGAGGCTGGAGTACGGTGGCACGATCTTGGCTCACTTCTACCTCCACCTCCTGGATTCAGGCAATTCTCCTGCCTCAGTCTCCCTAGTAGCTGGGGTTACAACGATCATGCCTGGCTAATTTTTGTATTTTTAGTAGAGATGGAGTTTTGTAATGTTGGCCAGGCTGGTCTGGAACTCCTGACCTCAGGTGATCCACCCGCCTTGGCCTCCCAAAGTGCTGGGATTGCAGGCATGAGCCACCGCGCCTGGCCGCAATACATATTTTTTCTTTTTAGTCTCTTGTAATTAGATGCTTGACAAAGAATATTAGTATCAGTGAGGTATAGAGTTGATGCACCTAAAGTGTGCATGTTACCTATGGGTGAAATGACAGAATGTTAGAGACAGAGGAGAATCCGATTTACTAAATTTTCTGATCAACATAAAGTTAAACCAACTTACAAAAATTGTTTTGGTTGCTAATATGACAACTTTTTACATAAATCAGAGTGACCTTTTTGCCTGAATAAATACAGTTTATTAGAAGTCTTTTGCCTCTTTATTATTGGCTAGTTTTACTATTGGCTAGTTTTACCGGGTTGAAATAAGCAATAATGAAAAGTCTTTGAATTTCTTTAGAGAAATGAATACCTCTATTACAGCGGTCCCAGACCTTTTTGGCACCAAGGACTGGTTTCATGGAAGACAGTTTATCCATGGATGGATGGGGGTATGGAGGATGGTTTTAGGATGAAACTGTTCCACCTCAGATCATCAAGCATTAGATTCTCAAAAGGCGCGCACAACGTTAATCCCTCACGTGCAGTTCACAGTAGAGTGGGTGGTAATGCTTGCCTGCTGCCGCCGCTCACTCCTGCTGTGCGGCTGGGTTCCTAACAGGCCACTGACGGGTGCCAGTCCGTAGCCCGGGGGTTGAGGACCCCTGCTCTGTTGTCCTCATGCATTTCAGTTGTAACTTAGTTTTTATTTCTGTATTTTAATAATCTTAGTTTTTATTTCTCTATTTTAATAATCTTAGTTTTTATTTCTCTATTTTAATAATCTTAGTTTTTATTTCTGTATTTTAATAATCTTAGTTTTTATTTCTGTATTTTAATAATCTTAGTTTTTATTTTTCTATTTTAATAATCTTAGGCAATGACCAGAGTGAGACTGGATTTCTTGGATCAACTAGCAAAATTTTGGGAACTTCAAGGATCTACTCTGAAGATCCCTGTGGTAGAGAGAAAAATCCTGGATCTGTATGCTTTGAGCAAGGTGAGGTTTATACTGGTTTAGAAATTAGAGCACAGGCTTGTTAGTTTAGGAATATCAAATACATTTGGTGGTAAACATTGCTTCCAGTGGAGGATTTGTTTGACAGTGAAATGCACTAGCTGGGTGTGGTGGCAGCGCCTGTATTCCCAGCTACTCGGGAGGCTGAGGCAGGAGAATTGCTTGAACCCAGGAGGCAGAGGTTGTGGTGAGCCAAGATCACACCATTGCACTCCAGCCTGGGCAACAAGAGCAAAACTCCGTCTCAAAAAGGACAATGAAATGCACATTTGAATAAATGGAAATGAGAGATCTCAAAGTTATCTTTAAAAGTTGTTTTATATTTGTTGAGATTAATAGGTAATTACCAAATATTAATATTTATCAGGCTCTGTGATATACAATATGTAAAATAAATTACTCTAGCCTGCTAATATTATCTTGTGCTGAGTGTACAATGTTCTGTGTTGAGCTTGTCATCCTTTTTTGTTACTTAATTGAAAATTTGGCCCAGACACGGTGGCTCATGCCTGTAATCCCAGCACTTTAGGAGGTTGAGGTGGGAGGATCACTTGAGCCTAGGAGTTAGAGACTAGCCCGGACAACATGCTGAAACCCTATCTCTACTAAAAATACAGAAAAGCTAACTGGGCGTGGGGGCACACCTGTAGTCTCAGCCACTCAGGAGGCTAAGGTGGGAGGATCGCGAGTCCGGAAAGTCAGGGCTGCAGTGAGCTGTGGCTGCACCACTGCACGTCAACCTTGGTCACAGGAGTGAGACCCTGTCTCAAAAAAAAAAAAAAAGAGAAAATCTGGCATATTAAAGGGACTCCTGTTTCTCAGCATTCTTATGTGTGGTGTATATTAGTTTTGTTCATACCTGTGTGTAGTGTTAATGGCTAACCGAGGCTATCATTATTCGGTAGGATGAACAACAGCTCAGAAACTTAACGGTGAAGAGTTTAGACAAGTTTTTGCCCAAATTGTGTTAACTTTTTAACATTATATTCCCTAATATGAAAAAAACTAACTGACCTGCAAGCTGAGATTGTAATAACCTTGAAATACGCTTTTTTCCTTTTAAGACGGAGTTTTGCTCTTGTTGTCCAGGCTGGAGTGCAATGGCCTGATCTTGGCTCACTGCAACCTCCGCCTCTTGGGGTCAAGCAATTCTCCTTCCTCAGCTTCCTGAGTAGCTGGGATTACAGGCATGTGCCAACACGCCTGGCTAATTTTGTATTTTTTAGTAGAGATGGGGTTTCACTATGTTGGTCAGGCTGGTCTTGAACTTCTGACCTCGTGATCCGCCCACCTTGACCTCCCAAAGTGCTGGGATTACACATTACACGCATGAGCCACCGCACCTGGCTGAAATATGTTTTGTTAATACAGTAATACAAATTTATTATTGCTTAATTATCTGAGAAATTTTATAAAACAACTTTTTGTGGCCTTTCATATCTTATAATTTATATACTATTTTGAAATAAAAATTTATTCTTATTTAAATTGCAGTTACTTTTGGAAGATTTCACTTTTTTTTTTTTTTTTTGAGATGGAGTCACTGCCCAGGCTGGAGTGCAGTGGTGTGATCTGGGCTCACTGCAACCTCCACCTCCCAGGTTCCAGTGATTCTCCTGCCTCAGCCTCCCAAATACTTGGGATTACAGGTGCCTACCACCACACCCGGCTAATTTTGTATTTTTAGTAGAGAGAGGATTTCTCCATGTTGGTTAGGCTGGACTCGAACTCCCGACCTCAGGTGATCCACCCGCCTCGGCCTTCCAAAGTGCTGGGATTACAGGCATGAGTCACTGTGCCTGGCCAGTAAGATTTCACTTTTAAGGAAAAACGTGAGAATAATTCGTGGTGTGTAGTGGCTAATGCCTATAATCCCAGCACTTTGGGAGGCTGAGGTGGAAGGATTGCTTGAACCTAGGAGTTTGAGACCAGCCTAGGCAACATAGTGAGACTTCATCTCTACAGAAAATTAAAAAATAAATAATCCTGGCATGGTGGTGGACTCCTGTAGTCACAGCTAATCAGGAGGCTGAGGCAGGAGGATTGCTTGAGCCTGGGAGGTCAAGACTGCAGTGAGCTGTCATCACACCACTGCATTCCAGCCTGGGTGACAGAGCAAGACCCTGTTTCCAAACAAACAGAGTAACCATAGTTAAATGATCTTTTATGATACATTTTAAAATTAGTTTCAGGTCAGAATTCTCTTACAAAAAATTTGGCAAGTATAGTCTTATGCTAAAATACGGCTTGGGACTTTTTTTAATCAGGTAATGATGTTAGTAAGTAAGTACTGTACCGAGAATTGTTTAGTGTAGTTATATGAAAACATATGGTACTAAAAAACAAATTATGCTAAATTTGGGTGGTGGATTTGTTTTTATAGGGAACTATTAGGATAAAAATTCATTTTAATAATTTGCTTTTTTGAAATTTTTATTCAGTCAAAACTTACCTACTAAGTTTTGCTGTATGATGCTGTTTAAGATTCTGAATGTGTTTGAGTATAGCATGAATAAAATACAAAAAATTTCCAAAAATTGTCTGGGCACTGTGGCTGATGCCTGTAATCCCGGCACTTTGGAAGACTGAGGTGGATGGATCACCTGAGGTCAGGAGTTCGAGACCAGCCTGGCCAACATGGTGAAAACCTGTCTCGGCCGGGCACAGTGGCTCACACCTGTAATCCCAGCAATTTGGGAGGCTGAGGCGGGCGGATCCCTTGAGGTTGGGAGTTCGAGACCAGCCTAACCAACATGGAGAAACCCCGTCTCTACTAAAGATACAAAATTAGCCGGACGTGGTAGCGCATGCCTGTGATCTCAGCTACTTGGGAGACTGAGGCAGGAGAATCGCTTGAACCTGGGCGGGGGAGGTTGTAATGAGCTGAGATCACGCCATTGCACTCCAACCTGGGCAACAAGAGCGGCAAAACTCCGTCTCAAAAAAAAAAAAAAAAAAAAAAAAAACCCTGTCTCTACTAAAAATACAAAAAATTAGCCAGGCGTGGTGGTGGGCACCTGTAATAACAGCTGCTCGGGAGGCTGCTCGGGAGGCTGAGGTAGGAGATCGCTTGAAACCAGGAGGCAGAGGTTGCAGTGAGTTGAGATAGTACCACTGCACTCCAGCCTGGGCAACAGGAGCGAAACTCTGTTTCAAAAAAAAATTTTTCAAAGGTTATTTTATCATTAATAACAATATATATGTTGTGGTACTCTTTAATGAAACTCTTTCTACTTTTTTTTTTTTTTTTTTCAAGACTCGCTTTGTTGCCCAGACTGGAATGCAGTGGCACAATCTTGGCTCACTGCAACCTCCACCTCCCATGTTCAAGTGATTCTTGTGCCTCAGCCTCCTTAGTAGCTGGGACTGGGATTAAAGGTGTGTGCCACCACACCCGGCTAATTTTTGTATTTTTAGTAAAGATGGGGTTTTTACCATGTTGGCCAAGCTGGTCTTGAACTCCTGACCTCAAATGATCTGCCCGCCTTGGCCTCCCAAAGTGTAGGGATTATAGGTGTGAGCCACTGTGCCTGGCCAGTATTTATCTCTATTTTCATAAATACCGTAAGGAATTTACTAGAGTAAGTGTTTATTAATAGTATGAGTAGTAATCTATTGAAACTTTCTCTGTCTGTGATTTTCCATTTAAAAGGTAAACCTTAGGTTTATTCTGATGGTAAGCTAAATTGCATTTTTTTTGGAGACGGAGTCTCCCTCTGTCGCCCAGGCTAGAGGCGCGATCTCAGCTCACTGCAACTTCTCGCTTCCTGGGTTCAAGTGATTCTCCTGCCTCAGCCTCAGGAGCAGCTGGGACTACAGGCACACGCCACCACACCCGGCTAATATTGTATTTTTAGTAGAGACAGGGTTTCATCATGTTGGCCAAGCTGGTCACAAACTCCTGATCTCAAGTGATCTCCTATCTCGGCCTCCCAAGATGCTGGGATTACAGGTGTGAACCACCGTGCCCGGCTGCATTTTTCTGGTTTTCTAAAGTCGTAGGATTTCAAAATCGGGAAGGGGCTTTTAAAGGTAACCTAATCTGAATACTTAGTTGTTCACAATTCTCCTTACAACATTGGTCATCCAGACTGTTTAACTCCATCTTGAGAAACTAATTTCCTTTTAAGGTTCATACTAAAAGTACACTTTGTTTAAATATTCAGAAAACTTGTTGAAAATATGTTGTGATTAAAGGCTAAGTGTGCTTATCTGAGGGTTTATCGGAGTCTTGTCTTTTGTGGGTTTTTTAAAGTCCTCATGGACATCTCTTTCCCCTAACCTGTGAGAATGCTTGCAAAACTGAGATTTAAAGCTAAAAGGCAGACAAACTTTGATTTGTAGTTAGTTTTATTTATAATACTTTGTTCCCTAAATGTCATTGTGAGATTGCTGCTTCTCACATTAACTTTTTTCTTTTACATTGAGGTATAACTTACAGTGTAATGCACAAATTTTAAGTGTACAGTTCAATAAATCTTCATATATGTATACATCTGTTTTGTAGCCACCACGCAGATCAAGATATATAACATTTTTATAGCACTCTAGTGGGTTCTTTCATCTCCTTTCCAGTCAATACTTCTTCACAAAGGTAATTTATTCTGACCGTTATCAATGGGTGACTATTTATTTCATTAACATGGCGTTTTATTCTAGCAAGAGACTTGGGCTGAAAACTGCAGAAAATACTGAGAATTCAGATGTTTTAAGGTTGTTAGGTGTGCCCTTTTTTAAAAAAAAGATTATTTTTGGCTGACAGTTTGTTGGCATCTATTGAGTTTTTTTTATAGATATGATTTGAAAATACTATGATAACTATTGCTTTTTGACAGGAAGCAAATTTTCAGTCTTCTGAGTCATTAAGTCATCAATGTGATGGTTTCCTGTTTTGATTAAATCACCTCATCTTTCTCCCTATTTTTTTTGATGACAAAAAGTATTACTTGGAATGCCTGTAATTTAATGGACTTCTATATGAA